ACTGGGAACAGGAGGAGCCATGTCCCGCTCTCTTCCACCTACCTTCATTCTGGGATTGCCCTGTAGGGGTCGCCCTAAGCTAGGCTTCCTGCAGATGGCAGAGCAACTGTCCTCTTTAGACTCTGGGTCCCATCTCAGACCTCTGGCCACCTAAATCAGGGTTCTCGTCTTCCTCCATGGTCCTCTACCCTCAGGAGTCCAAGAAGCAGCATGGGGAAGGGACAGGGACAGTGCATTATCCAGAGACAGGAGTGACAAGTGTTGGTGGCCAGACAGAGCATATGCAAGTGACATGCAAATGAGCCTAGACGACATCAGCTAGTATCTGGGCCCAGACGCTCTCTTCAGCAGCGCTGAGGTGGGGAGAGAATTGTCTGCCTGTTCCCCATTCACTTTTGCTGCCCTCTCTTGCAAGTAACTAACTGGTGCCAGGCATGTGCAAAATGGGTAGACACCTCCCTTAGTTGTCACAATAACACACAGGCAGGGGCCATTATCCTCAGTTTACATATGACTCCCTATGGGCTGGATGAACACTTCCCAGTCTTCCTTTCTCTCTACAGATCAGGTGTCAAGCGAGGTTGGCAATAATGTAACAGGACACCCACTCCCACCTTTGAGAGAGCAGGGTTCTCCAGGGAGGCCCCTGAGTCCTGGGCTGTGGCTCTGGTCTATGCCTCAGCACAGAAAGGTTCACAGTGAGCAGCTCGTGTGTAGGAGGGGCCTCTACAGAAGTCATGTTGGCTCTTTCCCAGTCTCCAAGGGGGCAGCCTCTCCCTGCCTAGTCTGGGCTCCCTGGACTTGGAGTCACTGCTTACTTGTTTTGTCTTTTTGTGGATAGTTTTAGAGGTATAACTTCAGACCCATAGTCAAAGCACCAGCCTCTTTCCCTGGGCATTAACCAGGCTTGCCAAGGAACTTCTAAAGAGGAATCGATGCAGTTTCTGTGTCTCCCCCTTGCAAATGGCCTTTAAGAGGCCTGGGGGCTGCAGGTGGCACTTGCCACTTCCCTGTTCCTGGAGTAGAGTCTGAGAGAGAGAGAGAGAGAGAGAGAGGGAGAAACTACCATGGTTTTTGACATTGGTTCTTCTTGGCAGTTAGCTGGGCATGGGGAAGTTTGAACAAGGCTAAACTGCAGTCCCTACTGGCACCTTAACCCCATCCCCACGTTCTCCTTTTCTACACCGCCCTGGCATCTCTCCTACCCACCAGCTTGCTTCATCTCTCCTCAAACTCCAGCCCTCTGCCCATTCTCTGGGCCTGCCCCTCTGGACACCTTGCTGGGCCTGTCTGGAATCCTCCTGAGTTCCTCTTCCACATAGGCCCTGGGGCTTGAGAATGCCTCTCTGGCCAGGAATGAGGTCTTGGCACATTCCAGAGTTTGAGGTTGGTAGGAAGCTGCTCAGCATCTGGGCTCCTCGAATTCTGAGACCTCTGGCTCCACAGTGGCCATGAGACAGAAGATCCAGTCTTCTTTGGGACAGTGATGTCACAGGGGGATGCGTACTGGGGTCGGGGCTCAGCCACAGGCCTCTACTTCCTGCAGAGTTTGCCAACCGCCCAGCCCATGGCTTCCATCCTTGCTCCACCTCATCTGAGCCACCCCACCTCTCTCTGGATTTCCCTGTCCCCCTGGGGAGAGAAGAGCAGAGGTGCTGAGTCGAGCTGCAGAACAGACCGACATGCTCACGTGGACCTTAAAATGGGGTTAATGAGAAGTACGATATGTGACGCGCCTGGTATTAAGTGATGATCTTAATATGTATTATAATATTAACAGCTGAGACAACTTCCGGAAAGAGTGGCCATGAGAGGAAGGGCCCTTATAGCCTCCTCCCCCTGCCACCGAGTGGCCCTTTCCCCCCTGAGTTTCCATGACCCCCACCCCTCTTTCTTGACCTGGCCTCTAATGAGATGCGGAGTGGGGTGGGTGGGAGCGAGCCCGCCTCCTGGGAGGGTGTGGTTGGGGGGCCTGTGGTGGGGCTGAGGGCTGCCCAGCTAGGGCCTGCCTGGGCTGGCGGCTGGGTACTCTCAGAGCCCGGAGATGGGTAACACTTTCTGTCAGTGGCTGGGAGCTGCTCCAGGCACCCTCAGAGGGCCTGGGGGAGAGCAGGGAGGAGCCAGTGGGCCAAGCAGCATTCGGGGCAGGGGAGGGTGCAGAGTGAGGCAGCCGCTGCTGGGTTCCTTTTTGAGTTTTCATCCATGAAGCGGGTTTGAGGCTGGGTGAGGTGGAGCTAGTAGTATTTTTTCAGAAAATCTGCAACTTTTGCAAGAGAAAGAAAAAAAATCCAGTCTGCTCCAGAGTCAGAGATACTGTTTCTTCTCCTTGGGACACTGCTGTCTCAGGTGAAGCCCCCACACTGAAATATGTGCACCCAGAGCTGGGGTGGGGAAATGGCTGTTCACACACAGGCCTCATACACCACACTCTTACACATTCACAGCACACAGCCCCGACTCACACTCCCATTCCTGTATCCTCTTATGCATTCACCTCCACTCTGCCACACACAACCACATCACACACACACAAGCTATGCGTCCATAGCATCTACGCTTTTGTTCCTACACACATGACGTACGTGATCACGTGATCTCTTCGCATGTTCTCACTCAGGTTACATTCATCTACAAGCTCCCCAGAACACATCCACACATCCCTATATGATTTATTGGTCTGTGCCTCTCTCTCATGTCCCGGGGTTGGCAGAGACAGGCAAGCCGCATTTAGCAAGGCAGTTTGGAGATGGGAGCTCTCAGGTCATAGCAGCGATAAAGCTAATAATTGGGGCGCACTCCATGTGCTGAGCACTGTTCTGAGCGTTCTGCATGCCCCATCTTGTTTAACACACACAACTTCCCTACAAGATCGGAATCGTTATTCCCTTGTTAAAGGCAAGAAAGGGCACAGAAAGGCCAAGTCACCTGCCTGGGGCCACACAGCGAGGCAGGAGTACAGGCAGCACTGAACCCTTGCCATCTTCTGTGCCCTAATCCTTAACTTGAAGGTCTCTGTCTCCTTGATTCTCAGTCTTTTTTTTTTTTTTTTTTGTACTGGGGATCGAACTGAGGACCTCGTGCTTTCAAGGCAGGCACGGTGCCACTGAGCCAAATTCCCAGCCCTCTCAGTCTATCTTTTTATCCTTCCCAGGGCATCTCTGGGGTCTGGTGTCATCTTCCAGAGAGTCCATGTCCTGGGAAGTGCCCAGGTTGGCCCACGGCCTCCTTAAAGTCCAGAAAAAGTCCTAGGAACCACTGGGGCTTTGAGGCTCCCTTGGTTTTGGGGCCATTGCCCTCGTCTCTACGTCAAGCACCCAGAAGGTGGTGGTGGGGAGGGGACTTCCTGGGAGATCCTGAGCAGCTTCTGGTAAGGTGTTGCCGCCCCACAGCCTTCCTCGCAGCTCCCAGGCCAATCCTGGATGCAAGAACAGCAGCCACCTGCAGGGGGAGTCGAGAGTGGGAGAACAGGCCTTGTCTCCCAGAGAGCTGGGAACGGGGCCCTGTCCTGGAAAGGCCTGGGAAGGTGTGGAGATCAGGAGCAATCGGACTGCGCTGCCTGTGAGCCAGGGGCTGGGTACCCTTGGGCTCCAGTGAGAGAGGGTTGGGGGAGAATATTAGGTGGGGCTTCCAGAGCGAGGTCACTCAGGTCTCCTCTGGGAAATAAACCAGGAAGTAGACCTGGTGAAAATCCCCATGAACCTGTGTAAGGAAACACTCTGGGCCATTTGCAGTATACTATGTGTGTATTTATGACACGAATGGGCAAAAGGGCCTAAACACACAAGTGTAATATGGTCCCATCTATAGGAAGACATTGATAAGGATAGATGATGCTCACACCAGAGTAACATATAGTGCTACACAGGCATATGAGTACTTGTGCACATGCATACACGCAGACACACACAGAGCATATGCAATCTGGACACCAACTCCACAAGGGCATGGGTTTTATCTATTTTGTTTACTGCTATATGCCCAGTACCTAGCACATAATAAGTATATGACAAATACGTGTTGACTGAATAATATTGAAAGGTATTTGTGTGTATGGAGTAGTCTGGAAGGTTATACACCAAAATGCTGATAGTAGCCACTCCTAGGTGGTAATATTTTTGGAAGAGGTTTATTTTTTCTAATTTTATTGTCTGTTATAAAATTTCTATCAATGAATTGGTAATATTTGTACAAGGAGAACATAAGGCTTAGGGCTTTTTCCCTTCCACATGTTCAGAATAACCAGCCCAGACTTTAAGAAGCTGGACAGGGCTGGGGATTTAGCTCAGTGGTTCCACCACCTGCCTCACAAACGCAAGGACCCAAGTTTGAGCCCTGGTGAAAAAAAAAAAAAAGCTGGGCAATAGGTGGGATTTACTTATTGTGCCATTCTGGTCCCCAGCAATATCCTTCTGCCCTGTTCCCCTCTTCCCACTTATAGCTGGAGCTGGCTCAGCTCCCAGGGCTTTCACGCCATCTTTGCAGGCAAAGCCTTTGAAACAATAGACTGGGCTGACTCAGGAGCTGGGAGAGGACCCTTGGAGGAGCAGCACCCTCCCCGCTTCCAGGCCAGGCTGGCAAGCAGGTGCCTCTGAGGCCAAGAGGAACTGGGCTGATGTTGCAGCAGGAAGGATTAGGGTAGAGCAAGAGCTTCCTGACAGCACAGGAGGCTGTCACAGGTCATTGAGGTCGCAGAGCCATCCTCTTGTCCTGGAGCAGTAGGTGAATCCTTTTGTTTCCTAGAGAAGGTTGCCACCACATCTGGAGCACTCAGCACCATGCTTGGCACTGAAAGGCTCCCAGTCAGTGTGGATGGGTGGATGGGTGGATGGTGGCTGATGAGCTTGTCTGAAACACATGGTGTCAAAATCCCTTCTGTTCCAGGCTGCCTAAATTGGAGGATGAAAGGAGTGCTGGCTTACTGAGTACAGTGATCCCGTCCTTGCTGTGCAGCCTTGGCAGGTCACTTTTCATTTTCTGGGCTTCAGGTTTCTGCACAGTGAAACAAAGGTCCTGGCCTAGATAGTTTCTTAGGCCTCACTGCTCTGTTGTTCTGCACTTGGTGAGTGTTACGCCCATGTGGGATGGGTTTGCTGTCAGGGTGCTCTCTAGTTGTGTGTTCTTTTGTCTTTTGAACTTCAGTCTACATTCCCCAAAGGCAGGAACGGAGTCTGACCTGTTTCTGTGTCATCACAGCAGGCACAGGGCTGGCCCACAATACCTTGCGTTGTCTGCCGTCCTGTAGCCCGTGCCTTGCCTTCGCTGCCCACATCTGGCTATGTCCTGACCCTGTCACTGTCGTGCCTTAGGAAGGAAGGCTACTCTGAGGAGGGAGCCAAGGGCTCCCTGAGGGGAGTGTGCGGGAGCACACATTAGTGACACGGGTTTAGGAATTAGTTATTAAGGGAATTTCCTAACTCACAGGATAGAAACTCCCCTTTGCCTCAGGTCCCCTTTCCAGCCTGCTTCTTGGGATCTTTCTCCCCTGGAAAAGCTCTCCAAAAGCTCTCTGCTCTTAGACCCAACATCTAACGCTGCTCTTGGTTCTGCTCTTATTTTCTCGGCTTTGTGTGCGCTCAGATGTGGGGACCACTACCTCTGTCAGAGTTTCCTAAACTTGTTCGGGGCAAAGATCCCTAGGATTAAACTCATTTTATATTGTAGCTCCATATACATTCACAACACCCCCAAAATGTCACACTGCTGTGTCAGCCTCCTCACGCTGGCTGAGGCCCACTACATGACTTTACAATCCATTAGTGGGCTGTAACTTGTACTTCTGAAAATACCATTCTTCTTTCAGACTGAAGCTCTTTGGGGATAGAGTAAGATCTTGCCCCAATCTCATGCCCGGGGCAGGGCTCTCTGGATGGGAGGGAGGCTGGAGAGAGGATGAGGGGCAGGGAGCTGGTCCATGCAGCCCACATCCCTCCTCCCCTTGCACAAGGCCCTTGGTAGGAGCTTTGCTGTCCCTTCCCCGGGTGTGGGAATGCTGGGAACTTTCCCCTAGAAGCTGTCTTTCAGCCTCCAGGAGTTGGGAGGCTGTCCTTAGCAACATGCATCATAATATTTGCCAAATCAGGAGCCGTTGCTAGCAGCAGGGCATCCAACTGGCTGGACCTGATTGGTCAGAGTGGCAGTGGCTGTGTGTGGAGCTCAGCCCAGGCAAGTCTGGGATCTCCACTCAAGTTTTCTGGTCTGAACAACTCTCTCTTCCCCACTCAAGGGTCCCTGAGATCTGTCCAGGAATGTCCCAGCCTGGGGCAATTGTCCCTCCGCAAGAAGGCCTCCACCTTCCTCACTCTGGGCCCATGATGCGCTGGAGCTGGCTGGTGCAATTTTGGAGAGCTAGAGTGGTGTCTTTTCCCAACTCTGTGCGGGTGACATTACTGCAGTAGCTAGAAACTAGCCACAACAGGAGCACTGACATCATGGGGGATGGCATGTGGTACAAAGCAGATCTGTCTCTTCTCCCACAGAAAGCCAGTTCTGTGACAGCCTCACACTACCCCAGCCTGGCACCCAGGCGCTGTGTCTTGGCAGCCTGGCTTTCCTAGCAGAAGGAGCAGGCATCTTCTCTGTCCCAGCCTGGGGCCTCAGGGAAGCGTATGGTTGGCATTGTTAAGCAGGAAACATGTACACATCCATAAGGCACCAAGGCATTTTAGAGGCTGCGGTGGTTTTCCTGAGAAGCCAGCCTGAGTTTAGAGGACCTAGGTTCTCATCTTGTCTTGATCTCTTTGCATCTTTGAGATCTTGGTCATTTGCCTTTGTTTCTATGTCTCCAGAGTGAATAAAAATAATACTACCTCCTAAATTGTGGTGAGGCAAGGAGGGAAGGATCTGCAAAGGTCCCGCACATCGATCGGCACCTAGAGGGTCCTTCTAGAGAGTTCCTGGGAGAACTGTTAAATGTGCCTTCTAAAATGCAGACATGTTGTGCCTGTAAATGGGTTGTTATTCCACAGTTTGGTGTTGTCTCTCCTTCCACCCTGCACTTGGAACTTAAATCCTGGACTCAGGCAAAGTCCTGCAGATCCCTTCTCTGAGGGGGGCTCTGTTTTGGGACCACCCTCCTTGTAGGCTTGAAGGTCTCCTTCCTTGGGCAGGGAGAGGCTTCCTAGGCAGCACCCTGGCTCACCTGTGGGTATCCCATGCCTGCTGCAATGAGTCCATGTCCCCAGTGACTGCGACCTGCCTTCAGGAGCAGTTCAGCAAGGAGAGCAGGGGACAGCTGTCCCCAGCCCAGCAGACAGGAGGGGAGGGAAAGGGAGACAGAGTATGGAAAGGGCCGAATCTTCAATCTGCTCCCTCTTTTCTCTCCTGGCCAACAGGGCGTGTAATGAGGGGCCTATTAAAAATGGGGAAATGGCTTTGGGGAAACTGGGGACTCCCAGCTTCAGGACAGTAAACTGCATCAGTACTGGCCTATTTTCTGGAGGGGTCTGTGTAGGCCCAGGAACACAGGTGGGGCCAACTTGCATTTTACATGTTGATAGTCACACTTTGTTTGAATATGAACTAGAAATTATAATTAGCATATAAAACCACTTCCCAGCATGTGATTACTCAGGGTCAGGTCAACAAAAAAAGTGAACTCACTTACATTCTATGTAAAGAAAAATCCTAAGTGACAATGACATGAGGGCATAGGTCGGACACGAATGATGATGTTCGGGTTAGGCAAAATATTCTGGGTTAGAATTTGGCATAAATTTTTCAGCTACAGAGGCCAAAGCCTGGGGCGAGGTCCCAAGGTGCCTGGATTTGGGGAAGACACCGGGCTGCGCATGTGGGAGGAGGGGACTGGCTGAAGGCAGGTCTAGGGAAGAGGAGCCTCTTCCCCGCAGTCCTCAAACAACACGGCAGTAGCAACCCTTTGCCGGCCCAGGAGAGCCAGGGAATGGGCAAGCGCGATGGTGCATTGCCCCCACCCCCTAGGACCCCATTCCTACTTCCCGTCTTTGCCCAGCTCCCCTGTGCCTGGGGAGATGCTAGAAATCCAGGATAGGACTTTCATTTTTTTCTGAATATGAGAATAAGAGCACAGGCTGCTGCTCCTTCAGGGAGACCACCCAGGCCCCCAGATGTCCTCTCCACACAGCCACAGGGGTGTCTCCAGCTCTTCACTGCGTTTACTCATTTTCACGCAGTGCGTCCCTCCTCCGCCTCTGTGAGTTCCTCTAAGGCAGAGCCTTTTCAAACTGTTATTTACGCTGGACTAGCATGGTGCCCTGCACCTCACAAATGCTTCCTAAGTACTGGGGGAGCGGATGCATCCCTAGGGATGAGTTTCTGTTTTGGGCTGCTGTACGAGCTTGGGCAAGTTGTTCCACTTCTCTGGGCTTCAGATGGCTAAGCCTCCTCTTTCAACACTGACATTCCCGGGGCTCTGAGAGTGGTGGTTAAGGGTGAAGACTCTGAAGCCCAACTATGTGTGTCCACATTCTGCTTCTGCCACTTACTAGCTGTGTGACCTTGGGCAGGTTATTTGTTCTGTCTGTATGGCCTCTATGGAGGATTCTCCTTGCTGTGAGATGGTGAAAATGACAATACCTGCTTCGTAGTTTGTTAGGACTGACATGTAAATTTAAACGTGAATGGTTACTATATGTGAAGTACTTAGAGGCCTGTTATGTAGGCCCCATTGACTGTCTCACTGTTGGATAAAATAGCTCACTGATAGTGTTACTTCGATCTTTACTGTAGAACAGACAAAGGCTCTCTGGGATGCAGCGAGACATCGATATACTTCCTTATGTCCTTGCAGACAAGATGGGAAAATAGAGCCTCAATAAAGATCACTAAAAGTGTAAGCCAGGTGATTCTCAACCAGGGGGAGGTCTTCTAGTTAGGATGTCAATTGCCTTCCTCCAAACCAAAATGAAAAGAGGAGGAAATCCCGCCATCACACCCACATGCCAATTTAACAACCAAGAGAGCTCCTCTCAGATCCTCCCTACTCTGTGCGTGTGTGTGTGTGTGTGTGTGGCAGTTCTGGGATTGAATCCAGGGGGCTATATCCTCAGCCCTCTGTATTTTATTTTGAGATAGGGTCTGGCTAAATGGAGCAGGTTGGCCTTGAACTTTTTTTTTTTTTTGGTACTGAGGGATCAAACTCTGGATCTTGTGCTTGTGAGGCAGGTGCAGCACCACTGAGTTAAATCTCTGCCCAGGTCTTGAACTTTTGAGAGCTTATTTGGAGGGTCCAGCAGGGGAGTGAAACTACTTATATAGCCTTGACGGAGAAAATTGTCCCCTCTCGGGGGTGGTCCTCCTCTGACGGAGCTCGCAGCTTCAAGAGTGACTCACATGGGGCAGTGAGGGAGGAAAGGGGACATCCACCTAGCCAGCCGGATCAGCCAAATCAGCCCTGGTGATCAATGGGGTGGCAGATGTTGCAGCCCCCTCCCCTTGAACTTTTGATTCACCTGCCTTAGCCTCCTGAGTAGCTAGGACTACACGCATGTGCTATCCAGCTTCCTCCCCATTCCTGGTGTTCTGTGTTTATGTGTGTACCTTCCACGGGACTGAGTATATAGTTTGGGTGGGGAGGGGGCCTTACCCATCTCAAGTCTCCTGTTTCACTTAGCACCTGTGAGCCGACACACAGAACCTTATTTCTCAGATGTGTGGCTGTTTCATGGATGAGGTGGGCAAGTGGGGTCTGGGGAGGGATGACTAGTGCTTCAGGGAAGACAGCTGAAACTTCCAAGGCTCTCCAGAGGTTGAAAGAGGTAAGAAATCAACAAAACGAAACCCAATGGTGATTCACTCGTTCAACAAATATTTACTGAGCGCCAACCGGATGCCAGACACTTGGAGGATACAGAAGTGAGCCAAAGAGACACAGTCCCTGCTCTCATGGCACTCATGGTCCAGTGCAGAGAGACTGGCAAACAAGAGTGACTAAGACAGAGAGCACGCTAGGAAGGGATGGGTGCTGAGTATGAGGTATGATCAAAATATAGGGTGAGGGTTTAAATTAAAACATTTTACTACAGTAGAAGACACAGTAGTCCCCCTCAAAACAGTCCCTCATGCTTTGAACACACTTATGCCACTGTTTCTGCCACTTTATCAAGCAGTTCTGGAAGTCCTCTCCCAGGAGTATGTTTAGGAAGTTATTGATTTATGTAAAGGTACAAATTTCCAACAATGAATGTCATTACATTGTAGATATTAAATGTACCAATGAAATTTAACTAAAAAAATACTGCGGAGGGCTGTCCAGCTGAAAGGCAGCCTCGTAAAACATTACAGTGTGTCCTTACCCACTTTATTCGCAGGATCTGGCACTGAGGGACTTCGGGCACCTCTTCAAAGTCAAACTGATCATGAAAGGTAAATGTTTTGAATGGACTTGGGACATTTCGAGGCAGGCACAACAGTGTGAGTAAGCAGGTGCATGAACGAGACCTTCCAAAGCTGCTTCAGAAAGTGGCAAGAGATACAGGAAGGGGTAAAGAGGCAGGGAAGGGAGCAGAAAAAGGTGTGTTATGTGTGCATATCAACTCTGTGTGAAGAATGTAGCGAATGAACTGCAAATTTACTAAGAAAAATAAAAATTAAAAAAGGGGGAAGGGGATAAAGTGATAAAGGGGAATGGGATAAATACATCTGAAGCAAGGGGGCGTATTTTGAGGGGGATTAATGGCAATGTGTCTTTTATAGCAATAACATTTTAAAATTTAAAACATCTGCATCCTATTTTGAGCACACCTCTTAGAGAGAAATAAAGCAGGGGAGGGAATAAGAAGTGGCAGGGAGAATGGCCTCTGTGTTGCAGTTTTGGTTTAGGGCAGCTGGGAAATGTGATTCCTTTTTTTTTTCTGGTACCGGGGATAGAACTCAGGACCTTGTGCTTCTGAGGCAGGAACGGCACCACTGAGCTAAATCCCAGACCATGTGGTTCCTTTTTTAAAAATTAGTGCATATTGGCTACATAGACTAGTGGGTTTCATTTGGTGTATTCATATATGCATATCATGTATTTTGATAATTTCCCCTTCCATTATCCTCTATGACCTTCTTCTCTCCTTCCTCCCTTTGATCCCCTTCATCTTCTCTACTAGTTTCCTGAGAAGGTGACTCTTGAATAGAGGCCTGAAGAAGGTGAGGAAGCAACTCATGAGAGGAAACAGCAAGTGCAAATGTCCTGCGGCAAAATCCTGGCATGTTTGAGAATAAATTAGAGAATAAACTAGGTCGAGTCTTTTTCAGGCTCTGTACTTTTTTCTCCTTACCATACTTAAAATTAAAGATTTGTCTGTCTAATTCTTTAAAGTTTGTTTTTCCACCAGACTCTAAATAGCTTCCGGGCCTCAATAGGTGCTCAAATACATTTTGTTGAGTAAACTACTTTTGGGGAAAATCAGCTGCACAAAGAAGAACACTCTTGAGAGGCTGCGGAGTCTTAGCTGTGGCCAGCATTGAGCTTAGGTGCAAGAGGGGCTGTTGGTTGGAGGCTACCTGAAGCTGTGCTGCCAGGGCCTCTCCTGGAGGCGGGGCTGGGCCAAGTAGGGGATGCAGAGCTGAGGCACGGTTGAGGGCGGTTAACTGGAGCAGGGGAGAGAAGGCAAGACAGAGCCCAGGCCGGGTCCGGTGACAAGTCTGCAGTGTGAACCCCGTAGTTTTGCTGCTGTAGGACTGAAGTCTCCCTGGACATGTCTGTGTGCACTAGGCAGGGTGGTGGACCAGATGGCACTGTGAGGTTATCATCAAGTGCCCGGTGGTATTTTCTGGGAAAGCTTGAGGGGCAGGCAGGTGGGAAGAAGAGGGAAAGGCTCATTTAGAGCTGTTGCAAGGGGCCATGGTCTGAGCTGGGTGGGGGCAGTGGCTCCAGCTGGAGTAGCTGTGTGGGTGGCCTTGGGCAAATTCCTCTGATCCCACAGCGAGGGCCAACGCATGATTTGGAGGTCACCGGGTGCAACCCTGTGTGTTACGCAAGGGTGCCAAGTCTACACCCCGCCCCACACCCTGCGTGGCCTTCGTCCTCAAGAGTAAAACCAAGGTATTGGGTCAGATGGTCTTGGAGATCCTTCCTGGCCCCCTTATTTTGTAATATTATAAATATGGGGAAGTTGCACACGGGCGGATTAGCGCCATGCCAGATGTGGCCTCGAGTCTTAACACGGAGAGGGAGGGATAGTAGAGTTCATCCCCCACAGTCCTTCCTCACGTGTACGTCTGGGGCTCAGCACTAAGGCCCAGACCCCGCCTCTGCAGAGTGGTCCCGGGGCAGGACTCGGGGCAGTGTCCCTGTGTGATCCAAGCTGTTTCCCAACTTCATTCTCCATGCTGCCTCCCCTCTCCTTGGGGCTCTCGATGCTTTCCTGAATCTTTTCTCTCCTCTTCTCTTCCTCACCTGGCCCCACATACTTGAATTTCTCTGCTCCCTCCACTGAAGGCTCTGTCGCCTCTTCCCATTTAAGTGTCACTGGGGGCTGCTGATGGGTGGGCAGGGGGAAGGAGGAAGGGGTCTAGTCCTTTGGCAGGAGGCGACACCCGCTCGCTCACAGTTGCCTGGTCTGGGGCGGAGCACCTGCGGGATTGCCCTCATTGCTGGGCCTGACTTCCTCATAGCACAGCCACTTGAGTGTAGTGTGCAGAGCCCCTGTCTGTCCTAGCTTTGAGCTGCATTGGCAAAGACCCCAGTCTCCTGCCTTCCAAATGCACCAGGTTCTAGAAGAGGGGAGGGGCACAGAAAGAAATAGCTTTCCTGCCATGCAAAGAAGTTGTGGATGTTCCTAAGAATCAGTTGTCCAGCTCTGCCAGCCAGCAGGGAGGAATCTAAATGCAGGCTGCTGGCCCCGTCCCGTAGGGGACCTTCCTGGGTGGGAGGTGGTGCTAAAATACAAGTGTTCCTCCTCTGGTAGCATTTGCCCTCCAAGTCAGAACCCATCCTGTGGGCAACCTCAAACTCTGTTTCTTTCCAAGTGCTTGAGTTATTTGGGAGCCTGAGTCCTTCTGATTCGTACCCTGGATGTTCAGGGCTGAGCCTGGTGCTGTGTGGGAGGAGCAGGGACACAGGCGGGCTCAGCAGTGCAGTTTCCCTTGGTCCTGGATGGAGATGCCTGCCTCGAGCGGGTGGGGCCTCCTGGGTGACTGCTGGGTTGGGCGAGAGGAGGGACTTGGACACCCTGTTTTTCCATGTCCATTCCAATTCCTGGAGTATCTTTGAGCCTGTGATGGTAACAGCATCTCTGCTGTCCTCCTGGTCCATGGTGCTGCACTGAGCCTTCCTCCTCTACCTCTCAGAGGGAGAACTTCCCTTTTGGGGCCTCATTTTTCCCTGTCTGGCATCTCTGATGCCTCAGTGGAACCCCACCCCCTCTTCCTCTGCTCCTAGCAAACCTCCCCTCCTCCCCCACTTCCTCCTCCAGGACACCTTCCCTGAGAGGTCCTCAGTGTTCTTGCTCAGGGCTGTGCCTCCCCGCTGCCCCTTGCTGTGGTCCAGGACTCTAGATGCTTCCTCGTCTTTGGGGCAGGTAGACCCATCTCTTCTACCAGTTGGGTGCTCCCTGGACTGGGCCTGGGTCTCCTTCTCCTCTGGGCTCTACACATGCCAGGCACCTGTTCCCCAGGTGTGTCAGAGTAAGTCAGCTGCACACAGTCAGGCCAAGAGCATCCTGCTCTCCAAGGCCCAGCCCAGGTCTGGGAGGGGATAAAAGTCTCGTGCAAGGGCCCCAGGGCAGGAACACATACATTGTCCATCCGTCCATCTGCCTGCTGCTGTGTACCTGCTGTGCCTGCCATGTCTCTGTCCCCGTGCCGACCCCAGAGGGGCTTCAGTGCTCGTTCAGCTTCTTCTGCTCTCTCAGGGGGCCATGGCAGGGGCAGCTTCAGAAGCAGGAGCCTCATTTCCTTTGAGAGGTGCCAAGAAGGCTCTCGAGGAAGGGCTTGGGGGTCTCGGGGAAGGCTGGCTATACGGTCTGGGAAAGGGAGTGGTGGGCCTGGGCTTTCCACGTGCCCTCCAGGGGGCATCCAAGAAGTGACCATCAACCAGAATCTGCTGACTCCCCTGAAGATTGAGATCGACCCGCAGTTCCAAGTGGTGAAGACACGGGAGACCCAAGAGATCCGAACTCTCAATAACCAGTTTGCTTCCTTCATTGACAAGGTGAGGTCCACTCAGCTCAGCCCCTCTCTCTGAGCCTCCGTCTGACGATCTGCCCTTCATGGACTGGGAATGGGAAGGTCTGACCTCTTTCTACTACTTTCCCAATCACCTCTGCAACAAAGAAGTCGTCCTGAGTCCTAAATGGAGTCTCCCTGGTTATGCTGAGCCTGTTGTTCCATGGCTGAGGCTCAGGGTTAGAGAACCTCTGGCCAGCAGTGGGAAGACCCTCCTGTCAGGCTGGCCTGTCGTTTGGATGTGCTCAGGCTCTCATGGAAGGGCACAGGAGTCCTGCCCACGCAGGGTGGGAAGACAAGGACAGTGTTCCTGACAGGAGTGTCCCCAAAGCTTGACTTACTGAAGGCCATGCTTGGGAGTCCTTCAGGGGTGCTGTGTTTGGCTGCAGGTACGGTTCCTAGAGCAGCAGAACCAAATCCTAGAGACCAAGTGGCACCTGCTGCAGCAGCTGGAGGTGAGTGACAGTCCCCAGAGCCTGGAGTCTGTCTTCGAGGCCCTCCTGGCCCAGCTCAGGAAGCAGTTGGAGCAGCTGCAGAGAGAACGAGGGACTCTGGATGCTGAGCTGACAACTTTCCAGAAACAGGAGGAGGAGTATAAGGCCAAGTAGGCAAACCAAGTTCTCCTGGGGGGTTGGGAGGGCTCAGATAGGTCTGAGGCTTCCCATGTGCCAAGTGCCTGGGAACACACGACTGCCTCTGCACTCCCTGCTTTGTGACCCCTTCCCCAACTCAGAGTCCCACTTGCTGTGGGCCAAAGAGACACCATGGCCCCTTGCCTGCCCTGGAGGAAGGGCAGAATGACCCCTCTCCAATGGGCTGAGGTCTGTTCCTACAGGCCACAGCCATGAGGACCATGTTTCTAGTCAGGCCTGGGAAGGGCTTATTCAAACAAGGCCACAGTGCGGTTTTCTTGAGAAATTCCTGTTTAGCAGGCTTTGGACTAAAGTGACTCAACCTTCTCTGGTCTCAGGGTTGGAAGGAAATCAATTTAGTGAGAACAACCCTAGGCCCATGGTATGATTCACAGATGGGCTGTGGTTAGGGTGAAGGCTCCTCACCTAGGTCACCTGGTGGTGAGAGCAGGCTTGTGCTAGAGAGACTGTGAGCTCAGGTGGCCATATGGCCTTGGGCAAGCCATTTTCCCTCTTCCAGCCTCAGTTTCCAAAACTGTACAGTGGGAAAAATGTCCTTTTTCCTTGATAAAACCCAAGCTGCCTATCATAGATAGTGGTTGTGAGTAGTAATGAGAACCATCATTTGAATGTGTCCTAGAAATGGTGAATATGACCTAGTGTCATAGGGGACACTGGTGGAAAGAGTGACCCAGGGACATAGCTAGGATGTGATAAAACCTTGGGTCAGGAAAGGACAGAAGGGTGTGGCCATGGATCCTGCTTTGGGGCATGTAAATTCCAGGAAGCTCCTCTCAGGGAGGGAAACGGGGCAGTGCTGGTGGCTTGGGACTGCACCAGACTGTGTCCTTTTCTACCTTCCTTGGCAGGTATGAGCTGGAGGCCCACAGGCATGCCACAGTGGAGAATGACTTTGGTATCCTCAAAAAGGTATGTGTGGGCGTTCATGTGCTCCATGCGGATCCTGAGCCCTCACCATGCCCAGAGCCTGGTCATAGGCTGGGAAAGGGTGGAAACTCGTCCTGATGGGAGATTTGCCTCACCCTGCCTTCCCACCCGTCCCAGGGGGAAAGGGACAGCTACTTAGGCACAGGGAGCTCAAGAAAAGAGCCAGCTAGGAACTCCCTGAGGAGGTGGGTGGTCCTGGCAGGAGAGGGTGGGGTGGGGTTGGTGAGGAAGATTTGGCTGGGCTTCATCAAGGAGGGCAGTGTGGGTCAGTGGAGTGCAGGCTGGGCGGGAGCAGGAAGGAGGGGTTTCTGGAGATGTGATGGGTGGGAGTTGAGAAGTGGGTACACAGAACTCTGGAGCTGGCTTAGGGCTTGTGGAGAGCAAGGGGCGGATACAATGGCTTCTTTCTCTCTCTTCCCAGGAGGCAGATGAGACTTTCCTCAGCAAGATGGAGTTGGAAGGCAAGCTGGAGGCTCTGAGAGAATTCTTCTGCTTCTTGACGCGTCTGTATGAGGAAGTAAGGATCTGCCAAGGGAACAGGGTGGGCAAGGGACTCTCTGTGTCTGTGGGGGAGAATGACAAGGACAGGAAGCTTTTTAGGTGGCCTGGATTTGTGGCCATTTAGGCGTCACTGAAAATTTACTATGCGGATTGCTAGATGCTAGGGATGCATCAATGAACAATCAGACGAAAATCACAAAGTTCGCTTTCTATTGGGAGATGGACGTATGGGCTAGATTTAGCAAATAAATTATATAGTATGTCAGAAGGTGAGAAATGCTCTGGAGAACAGGAGGGTAGATGGCAGTTCCAAACAGGCCTCACTTAGAAGGTAGAATTAGAGTGAAGACTTGAGGGAGGTGAGGAATGTCGCCATGTGGGTGGGTTTCTGGGATTGCGAGCAGAGGCTGCAGCCTGCAGCTGGGAGCACTGGTGCATTTGAGGCAGTGTGAGGAGGCCATCGGGGCTAGAGCAGTAGGAGCAATGGGAGAGGAGAGGGATTGGGGTCAGGGGAGTGATGGGGGCAGGTGATTTAGAGCCCTGCAGGCCATTTTTCCTTTAATGTCCAAGAGGCAAGAGTCACTACAGACCATCTCTCTGATCTTTATTTTCAAGCAAGGATGCTGAGCCCAGCAAGGCAGCTATACCCAGTGTGAATGAGGTGGGCAGCTGGTGGAGTGTGAGCAAAACTTTAAGCACCCTTCTCCCTCGCTGAGGGCCTCAGGGAGAGGGGGTGGGGTGGCAGGCACTGAGGCAGTCTTCCCTGCAGGAACGGAGTCAGCTGCAGACACAGGCGAGCGACACATCTGTGGTGCTGTCCATGGACAACAACTGCTGCCTGGACTTTAGTGACATCATCGCTGAGGTCCGTGCCCGGTATGAGGAGATTGCTTCGACCAGCAAAGCCGAGGCTGAGGCCCTGTACCAGAACAAGGTACTGGGGCTGGGGTGGCTTGATGCTGGTAACTTCTGGGTCTTCATGGCCACAGCCTAGGGTGTTGAACCACCTTAGTCCATTGGGGCAGCTCTGATAACCTCTCCGAAGGTCCAGGGCTGGCTGGCTGGGAGCTTAGCTCCTCTCCAGGAGGGAAGCAATGCAGGGAAGCCATGGGAGATGAGCTTGGACTACAGCAGGCACATCCTCTGTGTCCTGGTCCAGCGCAGTTAGCCAACACTGGGGAAAGGAGGACTTGAGAAGGCAACTCCAAAGTGGAGTGGTGCTTCCCATGGTTTTGGGGTCAAAGATGGCAGTCTTCTCAACCAGTGTTGTACCCTTTCTTCCTCTCAGTACCAGGAGCTTCAGTCATCAGCCCAACTTCATGGGGACAACATGAAGGAAACCAAGATCCAGATCTCCCAGCTGCAGCATGCCATCCAGACATTACAGAGTCAGATCGACAGCCTCAAGGGCCAGGTCAGGTTGCCAAGGCCCTCCCAGGGCCTCTACTCCTTGCCTCATGCTTTTGCTGTCCTGGGCTCGGTGGCCTTCTCTCCCTAGGCAGGCTTGCTAGCGGCTTTATGCACAAGGCCTTGATAGCTGGCTGGGGTCTGGATCATTTAGGGTGAGGAGAACCTCTAGCACCCTCTAACATGAATTCTGGCTTCCTCCTTATGGACTGCAGCCTGCATTTTGTTTTTTCTGGGAGAGCCTTGCTACAAATTCCAGCCAAGAGGAACGGTCATATTTGTTACCATGTAGTCCATATCCAAGTGGATATCTTGCTTTCAACTTCCTGGGGAGAGGGTTAATTTATCTCTTAGCTCTTCTTTTGATACTTTCTCTTCAAATAGCTGGAAATGTAAGGCCAGACACTGACTTGTGTCCCCTGTTAGTGAAGACAGGTGCTTGGAGAGCAGATTGGGATGGGGGCTGAATCTTCTTAGATACGTGCCTCACAATGGGTGGGCAGGGTGTGGTTCTCTGTTCCTCTCAGAGAGCTGACTCCCAGATGGGAAGGACGTGACTTACTATTTGTCAGGTATCTGTGCACTCTTACTCCCCAAACTCAAAGGATGGCTTTGAGATCCATGGAGGGTGTCAAGCAGAGACAGAGTTAGGTGAATCCCCCGGCACTGCAGCTGGATTCCATATCCGTGCAAGTATGGCTCTCCAGAAAGTTTCCTGGAGCATGCACAGGCCATTCACTTCATTGTAAACCTTCCATTGCTTGGCGTGGGAATGAGGTGCAGGGTCTGAGACGAATGATACCTGGGCTGAGCACTTGGTTTGCTTCCTCAGTGTTTTCTCAGTGGAAACATTGGTCTGGATTCCTTTGGGTGTCACTATGAGGCAGATTCCTGGCCTTCATGCCAGACATGGGGAACCAGAATCACCAAGCCTGGGTCCCAAACACCTGTTGATTTGGAAGCACATAGTCTTCAGAGCCCAGGGCCACCCTGAGGAGGGTCTATTGGGTGCTGGGCCCTTGGCATCGCAGCTCCTGACCAGTAGCCATGAACCTTTCCTATGAGAGTCTCTCTCTGTCTCTCTCCCTCTGTCTCTCTCTCTCTTTTGGTTTGAACTTGGGTCCTTGCACTTACAAAGCAGGATCTAGAACCACTGAGTTAAATCCCCAGCCCTATGAGAGTCTCTCTTCAGGATCAAGTGCCCACTTCCTTTTTCACAAGTCCGGCAGACTGGGTGCCCTGTGTCAGGGCCTGGTGTGCTGGATACCAGCCGTGTGGGTCCCTACTCTGCCCCCTGTCACCTTTCTGAGTCTGAGCTTTTTCAGGTATAGAGTGGAGATGATGTTCCCTTGCACAGAGTGCTGGTGTAGGCATTGAGTTATGGAGACTTTGGGCAATTGCTTCTTCCTGAATCTGATGTGAGGGTGAATCAGCTGTAAGGCAGACAGGCAGGGGCTGTTTTACCTCTAATTTCTTACTGGAAAGGAGAGTAAATACAGAGACTATATTTTTCACACTGAAATTCAAGGCAGATATGCTCTGATCATGGGACAAAGCATTTGAAACAGGGCCATGAGGGCCTTCAAGATGAGACTTGAGGATAAGCACCCAGGCAGGACAGGAAGTTCTTTAGGTGCCCTCGGAGCGAGTCTCAAAAAGTGCTGGAGTTGAGGGGCAGGAAGAAATAGGGGAGGTGCCGAGGGAGGTGTGTTAGTTTCCTAGGCTGCTGCCCAAATTACCACAAACACGGTGACTTAAAACAACAGACATTTATTCTTTCACAGTTCTGGGGCCTGTCAGTCTGAGCTCAAGGTGTTAGCAGGGTTATGTTTTGTCTGGATACTTGGCAAATCCTCCTTTGCCTCTTCCTTGCTTCTGGTGGTGCCAGGACTTCTTTGTTTAAGTGTTGTATTACCAATCTCTGCTTACATCTTCACACAGTATCTTCTCTCTGTCATCTCTGTGGCTTCATCTGTTCTAATAAGAATACCGGTCATTGGATTTAGGTCCTAGCATAAATGCAGTATGGTATCACCGTGAAATCCTTAACTAATTTATTATATTAGTGAAATTCTACTTCCAAATAAGGACACATTCTGAGGTTCTGGGCTGACACACAGGACCACATTCACCCCTCTATAGCAAGGCAAGGAAGCAGGCGAAGGTCCTTTAGAATGAGAGGAACTGGGATGGGGTGGCCATGACAATTTTGAGCTCTTGAGTTTGGGTCCACCCCAATCCTCCAGGTATGTCCACAGTGGGTGCTTTGGGAGGCTGTGCTGGGCTTACAGCCACTCTCTTCCTCACTTCTACCCACCTCCAGAATGCCAACCTGCAGTCAGCCATCGGTGATACCGAGCAGCGTGGAGAGCTGGCCCTCAAGGATGCCAAGAGCAAGCTAGATGAGCTTGAGGGTGCTTTGAGAATGGCCAGGAAGGACATGGCCAGGCTGCTGCGAGACTACCAGGAGCTCATGAGCACGAAGCTGTCCCTGGATGTGGAGATCGCCATGTACCGCAGGCTGCTGGAGGGCGAGGAGTGCAGGTGGGACGGCTTGGACAGATCTGGGTATGTGTGTGTGTGTGTGTGTGTGTCGGGGAGCAGATGGAAGGGCAAGACAGTGCTCCGCTTGCTAATGTGAATTCTGAGATTTCCTGTGGGTCCATAAGGCCACCCAACTCTTCTGGGTGGGATTTTTAATTGGGGATTGTGGATTTTATGTGCTTAGAAGGTAGCTGAGCTGCTCCTAGAGATGGGAGGCTGAGGCAGGAGGATGGCAAGTTTGAGCCCAGCCTGTACAAGTTACCAATTTAGATCCTGTCTAAAAAACATAATTCTTGGTCACTTGGGATGCATTCTTTGCAGCCTTTCTCATTTCTTCTTGTTCTTTCTCCCTCAGGATATCTGGGGAGTGCACCAGTCAGGTCACTATCTGTGAGTATCAGGGAACTTTTAGGGTGGGAATCCCATGGGTGCTGAGGACCCTTCTGCTACTCTGGTGCATTTTTTTGCAGCCACAACGGGAGGCAGTGACATTGTGCCTGGAGGAGCTGGTGGCAGCCAAGGGGGCACTTGTAGATTCAGAGGTGGGAAAGGCCGCTTTGGATCCGGCTGCTCCAGTGTCGTGACTGGAGGCTTCGGCAACACGCTGGGTTCTGGTCAAGGCCCTGCTTTGGGCTCCTGCTCCGTGTCTGGCTCTGGCTTCAGCTCTAGCTCCAGCTGCAGCCACCATACCATCCTGAAGGAGACAGTGGAGTCAAGCCTGAAGACATCCACCACATACTGAGTGGCCTGGTGGCCACCTCCTTCCTGGACCCATCAGCCCTCTCCTACCCCGTCCTCCAGCTCTACATAGCCAGCCCTGAATCGCTGCTCACCTCCCAAGCCAGCCCAAGAGGATTCTGAGAAAGTCAATAAAGTCCCACCCACCTGCTGTCCTGAGCACCTGGGCCTGTTGTTCTTACTCGGCTGGGGATTTGCATCTCATTTATGTGCTGTCCGCCTCTCCCATCATGGTGCATGGTGCCCATCCTCAGCCAGCTGACCACGTTCTCTCCTCTCTGCATAGCCTCTAGGCCGAGCTAGAAAAATCTGCTGGCTGACTTGGGCAGACTGCACCTTACTCCAGAGATTGTCCTTTAGGAGGAGGGCAGAAGCCCAAGACTCAGACGAAGGGCTGGAGTTTGGAGCCAAGGGATGTCCCCTCCTGCCCTCTTTCCCCTCTCTGGGCCTCTGTTACTCTAGCTTTCCACGAAATGACACAGCACTCATTCTTCCTGGGTATGTATTTCTTCATCTCTGTCCCTCTTCCCCTCTCCTGCCCACAAACTTTTCAGGGAGGACCATACTTGAGGCTGTGTGCTAGGACTGGGGTTTCTCAGGAAAGGCTCGTGCAATGTCTTACTCACCCTGCCTACTTCTGGTGTCTCCAGCATCAGCTACCCTACCTATGGGAGCCAGAGTTCCTGTCTCAGAGTTCTCAGTGGCTGGGCCAGAAGACTCCTGGGAGTAGTTCAGATCCTCTGTGCTGGGAAATGCAGATTTTCAGAAGGTCCTTTTGTGTTGTATTTCTTCTTCCAGTTCCATTACTGGGACACTCTGGTGCCAGCTCTGTCCAAGTTAGCAGTCTGGTTCTATTATCTCTACCACTTTTCCTTTATAAAGCTGAACCTGGCCCTTACAGTCCCAGATAGAAATGTCCTGGCAGGTTAACAGTTTGGCATAGATGCTAAGCATAACCTTTCAATACGGATCCTTTAGAGGAGAGGCCACAGGCCAGAGACAAAGGTTCCCTACAGTAATTTGCAGTGTTTCTGCTCCTTTTTCCAGTATTTCAGCTCTGCCCCTGGCTCTCACACCTCACCTAGCAAAACAAAAGCTGTGTACTTCCTCAACCTGTTCTCCCTAGCATGTCCCATGCCATCTCACTAAGATCCTAGTCAGATTGACAAAGGAGTCCTTCCAGCCTCCTACTGTACTCTTGGTATGTTCTCCATCTCCATCTCCCCTGTTTTAGCCACTCTTGTGACTTCTTCACTTGTCAGTTGACATGACAGTTTCTAGTTCTGACCTGGGGCAGGAGGTACCCTTTATCTCTGCTTCTTCTTCCTAAGTTTGCACCAAAACTTTCCCTTCCTGGAAATCTTCCCTGATTCTCCATGTCTGCTGGACCCTTCCCAGCCCCATCTGGTTGCACCTGTTGCCATCCTGGGCTCTGTCAAGTTCTGGCCAGGAACTCAGCTCCTCTGTTAGCCTGGGACCTCTGGGCAGGTACTTCTGTGCACCGGAAGGGCATCTCAGCCCAGCTGGTGCCTGGAAGCTGAAACTGTCCTCCTACCCACTTCTCCCTTGGCTTCCATTCCATCCCCAGGCCTGTCTGAACAAGAGGCTAGAAACGTCCCCTCTTTTCCTCTCTTATCAGGAAGCACTGCAGGAAGACAGGAGTGTGGGAGTCAGGGTCGGGGTTGGGAGGGGCTGGGAGAAGGGCCTTCTCCACCCACCTAGACTGCAGTGTGGGCTTCTGCCTTTTCTTCTTTCCTCCCGCCTTTACACACCTGGGTGGGGTCCTGGCATAATCCTAGCTCCATAGCCTGGGCTGGGGGAGGTCATGCCATTCCTCCTCTGCTATAGTGGGGAGGCAGTCCTTTGCTTAGGTCCACAGGGCTCTCCATCAATGATCCAAGAAGAAGGCTTTCAGCCTTGTGTGAAGGAGACGTGAGTGGCTGAGAACAGGAACCCACAGCTGGAACCCTTGGGCTTGAATCCCAGCCTTTCCATTTCCCAGTGGTATGTCTTTGATCAAGTGACTTAACCTCCCCATGCTCAGGTCCTTCTCTTCAGTAGAGATTTATAACAATACCTTCCTCACAGGGTTACGTCGGACTGTGCTAGTCAGCATCCCTGGAGGAAATAAATCCACCCAAAATAGTTCAAATAAATTGATTTTTTTCAAAAAGAGGATATGTTCTGTCTTGCTTTTTTCCAAGAAAGCACTGAGGGTCTTTCTTCAAAGGCTCGGCTCCTTGCACAGGCTTTGGTGGGGGCTGCAGGTAGCACCTTTGGGTCTGCATTGGGGCAGAGTTGTTTGGTCCTTACGGGCTTTACTGGATCCATTCCTGAGCATTCTGCTGTGAATGGACAACTTGGGCAGGAGCACAGCTGTGCTTACAGTTCAGGAGGCACACAGATGTCATGAACACTTGCCTGATGGCTGTGACATCTGCCACATAGCTTCTTAATGGCTTGTCTTGGGGCATGCACTGATTTCTGCAGTGAATCGTATGTGGCCCTGGCTCCTTTTGGCATGGCCATTGTTACTTGTTTTCTTTGTCATCCTGGAAGTGAGGGCCCAAGAGAGTTAAATTGACTTTAATGAAAGGATTACTGTGTGAGTGTGTGTGTGTGGGGGGGTTGATAAAGGACCTGGAGCCCAGAGATCAACAATGGAGAACCAGCTCTAGAGTGGTGATTGTACCCAGTTTGTCCCAGTCCAAGAGGACTTGCAGTGCCAAAACAAGGACAGTCCTGGGAATATCAGGACTAATGGGCCATACCATGTAGAGCTGAAGAGAAGTGGACTGAATGGCTAATGGAGTTGCTGGAGCTGTGGAAGAAGGAGCCCTTGTAGGGGCTGTAGTTCTGTAGAGGAGAATCAGGGACGAATCCCCAATCTTTCTCCTGCTCTGATCTCCAGCCTGTGTCTCTTTGTGGTAAACCAGACTGGGAGCAGAGGGCAAGGTGGCAGCTGCAGGGTGAGAGAAGGGTAGATTAGAGCTCTACGGTGGGCTGGTGGAGCACAGCCAGTGTGGAAGAGAAACCTGGGCCAATAAATTGGGCCAATAAATGCCTACTAACAGCAAGGATTCTTAGATTAGAAAGTTCTACTTCTCTCAGCGGGCTCCTCACCTCATGTCTTCCGTACTTCTCAGTTCCCAGGCTGGCCCACATTCTCAGGCTGGCCAGGTTAGGGGCTTGGATGTTGTTTTCAGCCGCTTTGTTCCATTCGTTTCGCTGTGGTGGAGACAGGATTCAATCTCCTCTGCTCTTGTGTCCTGCTAGCTGCAAGGGACTCTGGGCAAGTGACAGTCTCTAGACCTGGGCCACTTGGTGCCAAGCAGCAGCATGTGCAGCTCTCTTTTACCATGGAGGACTAGAGGGGAGGAAACCACTCCTCCTAGGGCTTCTTGAATAATATTTGTGGGTGGTCATTGATCCAACAGACCGAACTGACTCCATGCTGCTGTAGCAGATGAGCAGTAGGTGATCATAAGATGCTCTGTAACCAGTTAACTGATAAAGCTGCCTCTACAGTGCACTTCTGTTTCCCATAAATGGTGTCAGATTGGGTAACTGATTGGAGTCCTCTAAGCCTGCTTTTGTTCTGAGGATTGTCTGGGTTGCAAAATCATTTATTGTTTTACTTTGTTTTGTTCTGTTTATAACTGCTTAAATAAACTCTACTAATTAAAAAAGTCTGAGTGCTCCCCCTTCTGCTTTGATGCTGGGGATCAAACCCAGAGTTGTTCGTTTTACCACTGAGCCACATCCCCAGTTCTTTTTATCTTCATTTTGAGACAGGGTCCCGCTAAGTTGCCCAGGAGGGGGATCGAACTTGTGATCCTTCTGCCCCAGCCTGTCAAAGCTCTGGGTTTATGACTATTTCCCATTAAGAATCTGCAGAAAGAGGGTCTGAGGTTGAGTGAGAAGAGAGTGGAAAGGGCTGGAGGTGGCTGAGAGGCCACTGTAACCCTGTCAGGGCTGAGCTGGGGAGTGGTCTGGCTGGGTGGGAAGGAGGCTGTTTCTGAGCAGCAACAGTGTGCGTCAGAGAGTGACCTTGAGCTGCTGTGTACCTGTTACCAGCTCCCAACACAAATCCTGCCAGAGCACTTGGTGAATATGTGAGTGACTTGTGTATGTGAGTGTGTGAATGTGTCTTTGGGGTGGGGTGTATTTGTGTTTACAGGCCTGCCTCCTACCACCCCAGCCGCCTGGTGACTCAGAGGCCTGATATCACTCTCTTGCCCAGGGACCCATAGCACACCCCAGAGGCTAAGGCCCCACTCAGCTGTCTCCCTCCCACACCCCTCCCCACAAAGAGATAAGGGAGGGTGAGAAAGTGATCCTAGCCCTGGGAGAGGAGACAAAAGTTGGTGGCAAGAGATGGCTCAGTCCACGATCTCAGGCTATCGTTTTTTTTGTGAAAGACATATAAGATGGGCTGTTCTTTGAGGCAGAAGAGTTGAGACCCATTGAGGTTGAGAGTTGCCTGAGGACACATAGCTCAGTGAGGATTCACCTCTGAGCCCACCTTCCCCAAATGCCCAAAATCCTAACTCCAAGCAGTGAGGACAACCTGTTGGACTGAGGGAATAATTCTGTGAATGCAACTCAGCCTATCCCTTGTGGGAGCCAGTTTCAACTTCTTCAAGCAAATGGAAGCTACTTACAGCCTCCCACTAGCCCTCAGAAAGGATCTGAGTCTCTTCAGGGATGGGCGAGGGTTCTCTCTCTGTTTGCCTTTCCTGGGCTGATGGAGGGTGCCGCCTCTGTCGGGGTCCCAGGCCTCTGTGTTGGGATCTGGGGGAGACAATTTGCCTGAACATCCCAGATCCAGACCGATGGGGTGTATTGAGGTATAGCAAGTGCTCCTTCCCTGAGGCTAGTCTGTCCTCTCCGGGGCCATTTTCCTGCTGAAAGCTGAAGGAAGCAAGGAGGGCCAGAGTCTAGGTCACCTCCCAGTCTTCTGAAGCCCTACCTTTATAGTCTCTGTTTCTGCCATGGCTGTATTTGGTCTCAGCCTCCTGAGATGGGCAGGAGGCAGGAAGCAAGTGACATAAGGAACACTCTGGCCCCTCTGAACCAAGCATTTGGGCTCCTGGAGGGCAGGGGAAGAGGGGAATGATGGGACACATCATGGACTTCTTGGAGCTTTTGTTGAATATGTACTTGTGGGATTTGTACATCTTTTCCAGGATAGGGGTATCCTCTGCTCACCTTTGGCTGTCTCCAAAGTGGCAATCCTTCTGGTGAGACTCCACTATAGGGCAGTAGGTTCGGGTCTCAGCTGGTGACTGAAGCCCTCTCTGTTTCCTGTCAGCCCCCAGGAGAAAGTGTGCTGTGGTTGCAGTTCCCAAGCTCTCTCTGAGTACCCTAGGCCTCTTTACCTCCTCATCATATGCCTAGGACCCCTGCTTGGACAAGGGCTCTCCTTCTGTCCCTGAATCCAGTTTGTCCTCAGGGTCTTCACCCAGAAGACACTGGCCAGTGTATGATGAAGGAATGGATTATCCCCATGCCCATGCTATCACCTGTGCCCCAACCCTGGCCCTGCTAGGAGGCAGCAGGCTGTGAGCTGGGAGGCTGGGACTAAGGCAAGCCTGGGTTGTCTCTCCAGCAGCCCATTGCCCAATGCTCCCTCCCCTACCACTTGCATAGCACTGAGCCCTGGGGCCTTGGCTTACAACAGGACCCTGGGACAAACCCCACAGAACAGAGCTGCATTGATGGCGGCCATCAGGGCTGGGTGGGAGGAGACCAAGCCAGCCACTGGGTGGCGGAGGTAGCCGTGGGAGCCTGTGTCATCCTGTTCCAAGTGATGAGAGCCTGAGGGGGGGAAGGTGGCACCCTGCCCCAAACAGACTGGGCTCACACAGCTCTAGAGCACAGGTGATGGCTGGGAGGGGCCATCTTTCCTCCCTGGGGTGATGGGGCAGGGGTGTGTATTTCAGAGCCCAGGGGCCAGCCCAGCTAGGAAAAGATAAAAGGCCATTAGTGGCTCAGCACCTCACTGCACTCCCTCTTACTCTCAGTCTGCTCTGGTGCTCTGACAGCCATGAGGTCCTCCATGTCTCGGCAAACCTATGCCACCAAAGGAGGCTTCAGCTCTAATTCAGCAAGTGGAGGGAGTGGCTGTAGGACCCACACCAGCTTCAGCTCGGTGACCATGTCCCGGAGCGGTGGCACTGGTAGTGGGGTCCATCGTGGTCCCAGCACAGGTGGTTTTGGCAGCCGTAGCCTCTATAATTTGGGGGGCAGCAAGAGCATCTCAGTCAGTGTGGCCTCTTCAGGCAGGGCTCTGGGAGGCTTTGGCCACAGCAGTGGGGCTTACGGAAGCCTGGGTGCTGGAAGGCAGACATTTGGTCCCGTCTGTCCTCCTGGTGGGATCCAGGAAGTCACCATCAACCAGAATCTGCTGACCCCTCTCAATGTGGAGATAGACCCAGAGATTCAGCGGGTACGCACCCAGGAGCGGGAGCAGATCAAGATCCTCAACAACAAGTTCGCCTCCTTCATCGACAAGGTGGGCTGGGGCATGAGTGGTGCCCTGGAGTGGAAGCAGGTTCTCTGAGGGAGGTGGGCCAGGCAGAGGATGTTCTAGCTCACATACACAGGGTGGGGTTGGTGGAATGACTGATCTCTGTCAGCCTGAGCCTGGAGCCTGAGGTGTGGATGACCTGGACCATCTTCTGAGTCTTCGTTGTGAATGCAGGTGAATCTCCATCTACTCACTGGCCATGCCCACCTTGACTATGGTGGAGTCTTTCCTATGATCATAGTTAACATGGTTATGCAGTAGCCTCATCTTACAGTTAAAACTGGATTGTTCCAGGTACTCCTGAGTGTGGCAGCCCTTACCACTTTTTATCATTTTATAGCTGGGGTAATTCTGCCTCAGGAGTCCAACATGCTTCCAAGCCTGCAGGTTGGGCTCTGTCTGGCCCTGTTCTCTCAGGCCAAGATAGATAATGCCAGAAAGCAATATTTGGCCTGGAAACAAATAAAGGATTCAGGACACTCCCAGCCTGCTATGGTGAAGAGTAACCATTCTCATCATTGTCTATCCCAAACTGAGTTTCTTAGCTTGGACATGGACCAGGGAAAGGGGAAACAACGGGAAGTTCCTCCAAACCTCCATCCCACTTGTGTTCTGATCACATTAGCTCTTAGGCCTCTACCTAGCTTGGGAATGTCTGGTGGACAATCATACTTTGATTCTGGGATTCATGATTTTACAAAAAACATTCATAGTCCCTCTCTCATGTGATACTCACTGGAGTTCTACAAGGAGTCAGGATATATGATATTGCACCCATTTTTAGGATTAGAAAATTGACGTCGAGAGAAGCCAAGTGATTTGCCCAGGATCATACGGGTCCTTGAAGGCATAGTGGAACTGAGAGCTCAGCTTTGAATGCCACGATTTTTGGCACCGAGAGATGCACCTGCCCCTTGGAGATCTGGGTGACATCACTGTAGGTTGGGGTGCTGCAGAGGTGGGACTGGGAGATTGGACAGCAGAGGGTGAAGAAATCTGCCCCGCCCATCTCTTCACCTTCTCCCCTGGTGACTTTTGGTTCTTTTGTGGGACTGTCTCAGAGGTCAAAAAAGCAAAATCTCCTCTCATGCTTGCAGAATCACAGCCTGGGTTCCGGGGGTGTGAGAGCTTGGTGTCTGGTGTCTCAAAACCCTGTCTGAGCAGAGAATTCTTGTGTGTGTGTGTGTGTGTGTGTGTGTGTGTGTGTGCATGCGCGTGCATGTGCCCATGCACATGCCTCCTTCTGAGTCTATAGAAGGAAGATCTGGGCAAAAGTGATTGAAAAATTTTTTTAGTTTTGAAAAAAATGTAGAATTTAAAGTTGCAAGAATTGTACAACAGTCTTGTATATTCTTTCAGATTTAGCATTTTACAACATCGTCACATTTCTTCTTTCTCTCTTTATGTATCATTAACATTTTTAGCAGTTGATTTTGATGCAGAATTAGAGTTCAGAAATTCTGAACAGTTTGAGAAAGGGAGACCAGAGGGGTCTCCAAGACCCATCAAGCCTGGGCTTTTATGTGTATTATCTTCAGAGCCCTCTTTGTCAGAGGAAACTGTCATTCCAGGGGAGTCTGTTCCCTAGTAATGTGTAGGTGACGCTGCACTGCTCCTGTCAGGCTGGCCTGGGGTGGTGGTGATCCCCTCTGTGGCTCCCCTTGGCCAAGCTCCCCTTGGCCAAGCTCCCCTTGGCCCCTCTGTGGCCAAGAATGACACCTGCCTGCCAGCCCTTCTTTCTCTGGTTTAGGTGCGCTTCCTGGAGCAGCAGAACAAGGTGCTGGAGACCAAGTGGGCATTGCTGCAGGAGGAGGGTCAGAACATGGGGGTCACGAAACTCAACCCTGAGCCTCTCTTTGAGGGCTACCTGAACAACTTGCGGAGGATACTGGACAGGCACTTGGATGAGAGGGGGAGGCTGGACACGGAGCTGAGGAATGTGCAAGATGGCCTTGAGGACTTCAAGAACAAGTGAGGAGAGCCGCCCCATTCTCAAGGTCCTGGGACCCACCTCAGGGCTGCATAGTCAGAACTGGTTCCCTCTGGGGCTTAGGTGGAGGGTCTGTTACTGCCTGGAGAACTGGCATGTTGTGTATTGTTACTTGAAATTAAATCTTTTTTAAGGCAGTGAGAAGAGAATACTGAACCTCCATGTTTTCACATCCTCTTAAATAATCATTGACTCCTAGCCAGTCTTGTTCAATCTCTCCTCTCCCTCCTTTCTGTCCTTCCTTATTGTCTTGAAGTAAATCCCAGCCACCATATCATTTGATTCACAAATCTTTTTCTAGATATATTCATATAGTTAATCTGTCTGACTTAATAAGACATAAACACAAAGCTATCCTCATACCTAAAACTTTTAAAACAGCAGTTCTTCAATATCATCAAATATCCAGCTGATTTCAAAATTTCAATTGTCCATAGATGTCATATATTCAAAAAATACAGTATGAGTCAAGCTTCCAAGTAAGGTTCGCACATTGTGCTTGGTGGATGTACGTGTACTTATATTTGCAAATTGAGGGCACAGTTTTTATATCTTTTCCCATGACTCCACATTGGTGGTTTCTACACCTTGAAGTCTTAGCAGAAGTGGGTGGGGAGGAGTGGTTGTTTTAAGGGTCAGCTTGTTGTAAGTGAATGCAAAGGTTAACCACTGTTGGCACATCTTCTCTGGCTCCTGTGGAGGATTCCTAAGGGCTCTGATCCAAAGGCATAGCTGCTCTTGACTGCTATTGTGCAATTTATTTGTTGCACAAATTCTGTGCTTCTTTCCTCAAATGGGGGTGGGAAGAGGGACTATTTATTTATTTACTTTAAGAGTAGGAAATTTATTGAGAGAAAGAAAGCTTCTGCCTAAGGGAGACAGAAGTGGGGGTGGGTGGGGGAGACTATTTAAATAAAGGCAGTACCCCAAGTTTTTTAACTGGTTGTCTGCACCAAAGAACTGTTTCCCAAAGGTGTCCTTGGGCAATGGGTTCCCATCTGGGCTTACTTAAAGCTCAGGGAGATCAATGCCTAAGAGGCAGAATGGGGCTGAGCCCGGCCTGAGCCTTCCCTGTGTACCAGGTATGAGGATGAAATCAACAAGCGTACTGCTCTGGAGAATGAGTTCGTGGTGCTCAAGAAGGTGAGCAGGATGTTGGGGATTGGGAAAGGTGGTCCTTTGGCCCTAGGACACTGGGTTGACTGGGAAAGAGGTGAGACCCCGGAGGGCTGAACATCTGCCTCTCTCCCTCATCGCCAGGATGTGGATGCTGCATACATGGCCAAAATGGATCTTCAAGGCAGAGTGGATGCCTTGGTGCAGGAGATTGACTTCTTGCAGCAGTTCTATGAAATGGTAAGATGGAGTGTGGATGGGGCAATTTGCATACATTTGCATACAACACTTTGGGTTCTCCATGGAAGTCTGACCTGAGTTCATCAGTGTAACCTAACTGGTAAAAGATGAGACCTTGCCCTTTTTAAATAATGCTGCTCTCCAAGTATTAAGTGCTTTTGATGGGCCAAGCACTGGGCCAAGCCTTGTATAATTCCTTCAGCAATTCCACAGTGTAGGTTCTCTTACATTCTCCACTTCATAGTCAAGGGCACTTGGGCTCAGAGTAACTCAGGGTCACAGAGCTAGTCAGAGGTGATGTCAGAATTCAAACTCTGTTCTTGAACTCCAGAACTGGGCTCTAGCCACTCTTCTCTCTTTCTGCCCCTCTTGTGATGGAGGAGAGGATAGAGTAGCAAATGCACAGAGTGCATGGATGGGATTTCAGGTGGCAGCAGGAGGTTAGGTGGGGTGTTGGGTAGGTCATAGAAGAAGGGATGTTGGAGACTAACGTGAGAGGGTTGAACTTCACATGAACTGATCAGAGAATCATTGGTCCCAGCACTGGCAAGGGCTTCAAGGCTCAAAGTTACTTTCCCAGTGCATGAACCCTTTCTATGACACCCCTGACAGGTGGTCATGACTGTACTGTAATACTTCTAGTGGCAGGGAGCTCACTACCTTTGAGGGAAGTCTTTTTCCTTTTTGAGACAGGGGTTCTTTATGTAGTCCAGGCTGCCCTTGAACTTGCAATCCTCTTGCTTCAGCCTTACAAGTAGCTGGGATTACAGTTGTGTACCACTGTGCCTGGCTGGACATATGTATTTCACACGACAGTCTTTTAAAGGGCAGGATGATTAAGGAACAAAAACCAGTGACTTGTGAGCAAGTTCAGGAAACAGGATTCCTAGGGGAGTTTTTAGAAAATAGAGGATCAGGGAGAGAGAACAGACATCTATTTGTGTAGCCTCATGTTGTACTAGTTTATGTATTAGCTTTAGAAACATCCCCTTCTCATCACATTAACTCCTTAGTGAGCCCCAGGATTTTCTCACATGAATGCTTTCAAGGGAGGAATATATCCACTCTCTACCAGCTTCCTTTATTTGGGTGGTTGAGATTTTGAAACAGAATGAAAGAATTAACCATTCTATCTATCTATCTATCTATCTATCTATCTATCTATCTATCTGTATTTCTATCTTTTAAAAATCTATCTCTATTTTAGTCTTCATCACAGCAGTTTCTGTGGTCAGATGTCTGAAGTTTGAAATTGGTCTCCTTTTTACTGGTCTGTGATTTGGGGCAAGTTACTTGATCTCCAGGTGGTTGGAAAAGAGCACAAGATGAGTTAGTGCCCATTAACTGTCTAACTCTGAACTATGTACTGTCACATGCCTGTGGTCAGGACCACTGTGTGTGGGGTACAGGTAGCTAGATGGTTGGCACTGGCTGCTCCCATATCCTCTAAGGCGACTTACAGGACAGCTGTGGGCCTGCTACCTCACCATGATTTGAAGATTAAAAGGACCATGAGTGTGCTCAGTGCCAGGAAACAGCACAAGGCAGGAAGCACAGGTTCCCTTCCTTCTGTGATCTCTCAGGGGCCCGCAGATTCCCAGAACCAAGCAAAATCATCTCACAGCTGGGGAGATAAAACCTCAAGTGTGGCTTCCCTCTAAGGTTGAGCCTGAGAAGTGGAGTGGCCCTTCTGGTGCCATCTGGGGGCCCTGTCGTCTGTTCCCTCCTGCTTGCCCAGGGCATGGGTTTGGGGTTGTGGTAGCAGCTGTTTCTATTTCTTCAGGAGCGGAGCCAGGCGCAGACCCATGTGTCTGACACCAATGTCATCTTATCCATGGACAACAACCGCAACCTGGACTTGGACAGCATCATTGCTGAGGTCAAGGCCCAGTATGAGCTGATTGCCCAGAGGAGCCGGGCTGAGGCTGAGGCCTGGTACCAGACTAAGGTGAGAAAGTGGCTGGTTCAGGCACAGGGGCTGGGTTTGGGCTCAGACCTCCTCTACTGGGAGAGGCCTGGGCTAGGCAGAGCCTAGGACTCCTGGGGACTGAATCTGCTGAGCCTCCATAAGAGCCTCCAGTAGGGAGGATAGGCTCTGGGACCAGTGGTTACCCATGTGGGCTGGGGCTCTCTGCTACTCACTGCTATTCCTTTGGCCTCTAGTATGAGGAGCTGCAGGTGACAGCTGGGAAGCATGGAGACAACCTTCGGGACACCAAGAATGAGATTGCTGAGCTCACTCGCACTATCCAGAGGCTTCAGAGTGAGGTGGATTCAGCCAAGAAGCAGGTGAGTCCCTACCTGGGGGCCCTGGGCTCAGGCCTGGGTGTTGGAGTGCTGCAGGGCCTTCTCATTGTTGTCCAGAGGAGCAAGGGATGCTCCTTTTCTGATAGATGGTGCAACTCAAATGCTGGGCCAAGATCAATGTACTCTCTTTACAGGGGGAGGAAATGGGCCCAGGGAGGGTAAGGGTCTTGTCCAAGACCATACAGCATATGAGCAGTAGAGCAGGTGGGAAAACTTCCTTTAGGAGACTGATCCGTCCATCTCCAGGTGTTAGAGTAAAAGAGGCTGGGGCTCCAGGATCCAGGTCACAGATCCTATTGAAGGTATGGCTAAAAGTGTGAATTCTCCTGCAGATCAGAATAAGGCATTTAGCTGATAGTGAGGTTGTTTCATTTATTTTTACATTTCTACAGTACTGGTAAGACATCATTAAGGGCTTCCCTACTGCTGCTACTTGATCTTGCTGTCTAACAGTATCTCTTCTCTCATACGCACGTTTCTCCTTTCATTCTTTCCGAGTTGGTTTGGGAAGAGTGTGGGGATGGTGATGCCTGGATTGAGAGCAGAGAGGTGATTAGGATGGAGGGTATTCCCAACACCTTTCTCCCCTGGGCAGTGTCAGCAGCTGCAGGCAGCCATCGCGGAAGCAGAGGAGAGAGGAGAACTTGCACTCAAGGATGCTAAGAAGAAGCTTGGGGATCTGGATGCAGCCCTGCACCAGGCTAAGGAGGACCTGGCCCGACTGCTGCGTGACTACCAGGACCTTATGAATGTCAAGCTGGCCCTGGATGTGGAGATCGCCACCTACCGCAAGCTGCTGGAGAGCGAGGAGAGCAGGTGGTGACACTCGTGCCTGATGGAGAAGGGCTCCCCAGCCCCATGCTATGGAGAGCTCATGTAGTCTGCTTGATGCTGGTGGAGGGGTAGGGGCCCCAGGGCACAGGGCCCCTAATTTGCCCAGGGAGAGCTCCCTCCTGTGCTCCTGTCTCTGCTGCCTATATGGGATGGCACCGTAATCTGTAATCCTAGGGCTGATTGCAGCCATGTAAGAAGGAAGCCTGCTCTTCCAACCCCAGATTCCATCACCAGTGGAAACTTTGAAAGAAAGGCATCTTTCTCCTTGGGGAAAGCAGAAGGCAGAGAAGTGGGCAGGAACAGGGTGCTGTTCATGGTGGGCTTTGTCTGAAGCTGGACTGCTGTCCACGGTGCTCATGGGGAGCAGGTGAAGTGAATGGGGTGAGCGGGATGGAGGGCCTGCTGTCGGCTCTGCATCCCCAATGGTGTGGGCTTCAGCCCCTGGTGGGAAGTCCACGGCTCCTGCACAGCCACAACATGTGCCTTTATATATTCTGATTTTGTCAGTGGACCCTGGCAACGAGCTAGTCCAGTGTAAAGGGAGAGGGAGGGAAAGGGTTTATACTTGGGCTCCTGTGATCACTGACCCTGTCCTGGCCTTTTTGCTTCCCCTAGGATGTCTGGAGACTGTCCCAGTGCAGTCAGCATTTGTGAGTATTTGCTGTGCAGTTCCTGCCCCACCCTTGGCCTGGCCCCAGAACTCTGCTCTGTTCATCTAACCTGTACTTGCCCAAAAGTGTACTCCCTCCATTGAGCCTCTGGGGACAAGTGCACAGGGCCCTAGAGTGAGCTTCCTGGTTGGGCTTCTCTATCCAGTTCCCATTGGTTTTGCCTGATTTCTGTCCCGCCCCTCTAGTCCCTTCCTGACATGGTTGCCCCTCTTGACCCAGACCCTTTCCCTTGCAGCTGTGACTGGCAACTCCACCACTGTGCGCGGAGGTGGCTCGGCTGGCTTTGGGGGTGGCATCTCCCTGGGTGGCGGTGGTGGAGTCAGCAAGGGTGGATTCAGTACCAGTGTGGGCTTCAGCACTGTCAAGGGAGGGCCTGTCTCTGGGGGGACCTCCATCCTGCGAAAGACCACCACGGTGAAGACTTCCAGTCGGAGGTACTAGCCCCTGAGTCTCGCCAGCTGGGGGCCCTCTTCCTGTCCCACTCACCCACTTCTGCTGCCCCTCCCCATGCACCTTCTTACGAGCAGCCCAAGGGACCACAGATTCAGGGTGTTTCATACCACACTCTGCACACAATTCTCATTTGACGAAGGGTGTGAATCTACCCAGGTTTTCTCCTTGGTTGTGGGGTGGGATGAGAAGGGAGCTTAGGGTCACCTGCTTGAGTGATGTGTGTGGGTGATTTGGGGTAACCTTCTGGCCATTGGGAGAAGGCTGGACCTTGCAGGCTACCTTGGCTTCCCTCACAGCCTCTGCCCATCTGCTCTGGGTCCAGGACAGGCTGGGCAAGGAGAGGAGGAAGTTGGAAGTAGTCCCAGAAGACTCTCCAACCTTCTCCATCTCTCACCAGACTAGACTCGTCCCTTCTCTGAGCCCACCCACATCTCTGTAGCCTGCCTGTGCCTGTGATGTGTCTCAATAAACAGCAACTGCTCCTGTCTGGCTGTGGCTCAGCTCGTTCTGTCTGGGGGACTGAAGTTGTGTCAATCGATTCACACCCCGATGGTTGAGGTAGCAACCACTGCACACTCGCCCTGTCCCAATCACACTGGCTTGATTCCATGAGCTCAATGTCCCTACCCCTCTAGGGCTCATGTCTGGTATGCAGGGGGAGTCTGAGGCTCAGAGGGTGGATGTAAGTAGCTCAATGCAGGACTTCACTCCCACCCACTGGTGCCCATTCAGCCCCTCTGGCTCTGTACAGCAGCAGTATGATTAGTTCAGGGCAGAGGCCCTGGGTTTAGATCCAGGTTGATGGGGGTTTAAATCCCAGTTCTTCCTCTTACTAGCTGCATTACCTTGGGCAAATCACCCAGTCTCTGAGTCTCAGTTTCCTCCTTTGTAAAATCAGGGTTGTGAGGAGAACATGTGTAAAGCATTTGGCTTAGAGGGAGAGGGGGCCTCAAAGAATTGGTTCTCTTTGTTTTCTTTACCTCAATGTCTAGCTTCCCAGCACATCTTCTTGGGGTCAGATGATTTCTCTCTCAGCCCCCATATTCGGTTATCAATGCAAAACCAAATTTTATTGGCTTATGAGTATATTATTTTGCCCAAGAATTCAGCAGGGGCACATGATTCCCATCTTACAGGAATCAATAAGAGAGGAACCAATTGAGGGTCCCAGAAATCACACTCAAGCCCACAGCTGCACACTGGTTAGGGTAGGATAGTGATGCCCAGGGTTGCAGTTTTAAATCTCTCTCCTTTGTCCACCAGAGCCCCCATGCCCTGCCCCTGCTTCCGTGTCTCTTCCTATCTTGTGGCCTCCCTCCACTGTGCCTCAGCATTGCCCCATTCTTCTTGAGCTCCACAACTCCCAGTCCAAGACTGGTCCCCACACCTCAGACTACAACCAAGTAGTTCCACTGGGGGACCCTGTGTGTGCTGCTCTGCCTGACCTGTGGCTGCTGGAGCTCCCAAGCCATTGTGGGAGGAGCCTGCGTACTTCCAGCTTGCTCAGTCTTCCTCCCTGGGGAGCTGGAAGGCCATGTAGTCTTCTGCCAGGGCAGGGCTGCCTGCAGAGGATTCTGAGCAAATCCTGCAGGACAGCGGGAACACAGCCAGCATTTGACAAAGCCAGCCCTGCTCACCTGCATGGTCCTGCATTTAGGAGGTGGGCATACTCATAGGGTTGTCCTTCTCGCTCTCCTCACGGGCTTGGAGTGTAGATCATGTGCACTCTTTTATGAATGATAGACATCTGGAGAGCCTCCTGTGTGCTGTAAGCCTTGAGCTGACTCAATCTGCCCAACAGCCTATGATGCACTCTCATCATTCCCATTTGGCAGATGAGGAAAATAAGGCCCAGAGTGGTTAAGTAGCTTATCTAGGGTCACAACTAATAAGTAACAGAGTGGGGTGTGGAATCCAAGCAATCTGGTTCCAGAGGCCAATCTCTTAACAACCAGGCTCTGTTGGGCATATAGAAAAAGAACTTAAATGCTTCCCTCTCTCTCTCTCTCTCTCTCTCTCTCTCTCTCTCTCTCTCTCTGTATGTGGTGGGGCATCAAACCTAGGTCCCTGTGTATGCCATATGAATGCTCTTTCTCTGAGCTGTGTACCGCATCCTAGAAAAAAATAGTGGGTGCTGAAGCAAGAAAGGGCATTGGATACTATCTAGTCCAGACTTTAGGAAGAACTTTTCTAAATGCCTCAACAAGCTAATGGCAGAGTAAAAGAAAATTATTGAAGTTAAGTTTAGGGCTTAGAAACTGAAAAGCAGAGACAGTCTTAATCATCACAGACTAAAATCCAGCAATCATATCATAGTCCAGGAGGCCCCAGAACAACATGTTATTTAGAAATACTGCTGACCCTCTAACAAGAATGTTTCTTAGCAATACAAATTTTGGGGTTGGGGATTTAGCTCAGTGGTTCCACCGCCTGCAAATCCCTCGTACAAAACAAAACAAAACTAAAAAAAAAAAAAAGAAAGAAAGAAAGAAAGAAAGAAAGAAAGAAAGAAATATGTATTTTGGGTTCTTACACAGAGTTTCTGGAGTCTGAGGGTCTTGGGGCTGCTTCAGGAGTGTGGAGAGGCCAACATGCTGCAGGGCTCATAGTCCCTCCTCTGTGCCTACCGTAGCCTCTCTCCCTCTACTTGTCTCACACAACAGTTTGTATGCTAGGAGTAGGGATGCATGCTGGTAATCCC